AACACAGTTTCTTGGCCGCGCCCGCGCCCTCACGGCTGCCGTCCCGACCGGGGGACGCGCTTGCCCCCACCCCTAACCGGCGGCAGCGCGCAGCAGCGACTGCTGAAGGTTTCTGGCTCAGTCCAAGGTCGAGGGGAGCTGTGTGGGAACACACCCCAACTTCCCGCCCCGGCTCCCTCCCTGTGCCGGGGGGTCTTTCACCGCAAACACCGCACCAGCAGCAAACTCTTACACACCTGCTTGTGCCCCTGAACAAAACAAGCTCAAAACATAAGCGGGATATAAAGTGCGTAATACAGAGAATACCATGAAACCCACAGAAGTCCTAGCGCTGTTTTGAGGCCCCCATCTCCTTGTGAAACACTTGCCGCTGATAGCTGTAGACCCTGGCAGCCTGAGAATTTGAACTATTTCTATTAACACTAGAATAAAAAAAAAAAAAATTAGATGATGCGTGGATGAAGGACAACAAAGACCAGACCACTTCCACAGGGGAAAGATTACAGCTCCACATGCAGAATTCCTGATGTGCTCAGAAACTTTCTTTACAACAAAAGGAACGTGTTCTTTTTCCAATACAAAAAACATCAAACATCACCTGTTCTTATACCAAGGAGACCCACATAACCCATTGTCACTTGTGTCTGGAAGTCTCTTGCTCAGTCATTCCTCCCCATCTCTAAAGCAGCAATCCTCTACAAATCTGAAGGATTTCAGACTAAATGCTACTCTGAGCATTCTCTTTTTTACAGAGAACGATGCCCACCTTATTTTTCCAGGCAAAATCACAACAAACAGAAAAAAAACACAATCAACCTTGGATTTCAAACTGTCTGCCAGTGGGTATCCTTCCCACCAAGGCTGACTTCTTGATTGACATTACAATTGTGATTACCAGAAGTCTCATACCCTGTGGACTTCCCAGACTTGGTTACTTGTGGAGACAAGATACAGCTTTCGACAGAGTTCTTCTATTATAATTTATGTTACGTTGTCTTTTTGTTATTGCAGTATGTGATTCTGGTATACATTACTAAGAATTCGTCATGATAAATTCCGTGAGCAAGGGGAGAATGAGATAGTCAATATTTAGAGAACAGTCAAGGCAAGGGGGAAGACAACTTCATAGAGAATTTCTAATCTGGTACTTGCTTTCTCTGATCTTTCTAGTCAGAAAATATTTTTACAGAACTCTTTCACTACAACACCCTGGGGCACAGAAAATCAAAACTCCCATCTACCTCCCATTTACTCCCATCAGATGTGCCATGTACAACTAGAAAAAAAAAAAAAAAAAATTAAGTCATCTATGAAATTAGAAAACTCAGTAAAAGTCACTCTGAATTCATTACATAGTTCTAGGGTATTGTAGGTTTTCTTGTCACTCCAACTCCTAATCAATCACCTTCAACAAAGCAAAACCGCGTTAGAACTGGACAGCTTTTTCACTCCAACCTATGGCATGATTAATCCCACATGCAATTCAATTGAAATTCATAGAAAAAGGCACATTGTTCTTCTGAACACAGCCTAGCCTAGTCTCCAAGTCCCAAGACTATAAATATTGTGAACAATAACCACATTGGTAGGTGAGGCACTCTCAAGGAAGAGTTACAAGAACTGCTCTGCACAATACAAGAAGGAGTAGTAACAGAGAAGCCATTTCCAGCAGCCAGTGGAAGGTGTTCCTGTTCTGGCATAAGCAGTAAGAGAATACTGCAAAGCCAGGGATTTATGTTCCCTTGCTGTGACACCAGCATTAAGGTTAGAAAATTTATCTCTAATAGAAGTCTGGAAAAGGACAATACAGAGCTCTATAGAACTATCATTCACCCCTTGAAATCTGAAGGC